GAGCTCGTGAGGTCTTATACTGGCCAGGCATGAGTGCCGAAATAGAGGAAATGATAAAGAACTGCAGCAAATGTGCTGATTTCCAGAATCGGTTACCCAGACAACCGCTCAAGCCCACAGAAACTCCAGAACTTCCATTCGAAGAGGTGGCTTCAGATCTGTTTGAGTTTGAAGGTAATCATTATGTTCTACTGGTGGATTACTATTCACAATTCATTGAGGTGGATAAGTTGAAAGGGCTGTTTTGCAGTGCTGTCGTGGAAGCCCTCAAGGCTCAATTCAGCAGACACAGAATCCCTACCATTCTTTGAACGGACAACGATCCACAATATTCCACAGAGGAATTTAAGAACTTCTGCCGAAGCTATGGAGTCACACACAAAACGTCATCACTGCACATGCCACACTCCAATGGCGAAGCGGAACGAGCAGTTCAGACTGTTAAGAAACTCTGGTGCAAGGCAACAGACAAACATCTTGCTCTTCTCGACTACAGGACAACGTTGATAGAGTCAGTAGGCCTGTCACCAGCGCAGCTGCTAATGGGCAGACGGCCCCGTAACAACCTGCCTGCTGCTCGGCAGTTGCTCACACCAAGTGCTTATGACCCTCTTAAAGTGAAACGTCGACTGGACGAAAGTAAAAGCATCCAAAAGATCTACCATGACTGCAAGAGTGCAAGTGGTCCTCGACCTGCTCTGAATCCTGGAGATGAAGTAAGAATGCAACCATATCCTGGAAATCATAAGTGGTCTCCTGGTGTCGTTGTGCGACAGCATTGTGCTCCAAGATCTTATGTTGTAGACTGCAAAAGCCAATGAGGCCCGTCACAGGCCTGACAATGAACACTGGACTGAAATATCAGAGACATTGAGTGATGAAGAGCATGGACCTGTTGACCACACTAGTTTGCCCCAATCACCGCCTAAAGAGCTTTCATCTGGCAAACAAACACTGCCAGCTGGACAGTATATCACCAGGCGAGGCAGAATTGTGAAGCCTCCAAACAGGCTCTGCTTATAGTTAGGGAAAGGTGTGGTAAAGACACCTTGAGGAAGTGACGTGCTGGTAACCTCTCCTTCCAAGATAGATGTGATGATGCTTGACTGTTCATTGTTATTGTTACATGCACCATTAAATGCAACTTTTACACAATGTGTGCTAAATCTTTTGTTTATGTTTTACTTGGATGTTTTGCATGTTATCTGCAGTTAAAAAAAAAAGAGAAGACGACAAAAAAATAGCAGTCAGATGTTTAACATTCATAATAGCTGTATATATATTTGTAGTAGTTATGTTGGAATGTTTTCTGCTGAGGAGAGGCGATGTATTGTATTGTCATTTTGTCAGTGTCTTTAAGAAACACTCCGGACTCTGTGGTTGATTAGTATAGGCTCCTCCTCATGTGTGTGTGCACTGCAGAAAAAGAAGTAAAGCAGCACTGAACGTTTGAAAGCACAGTGTCGGTATCGTGCATTATTTTACAGCGTGATAAACACTATCCAGCCTTTTTAGTAAGTATAAAGAAACATGCATGTAAATAATATCACCATAATCTAAGATGGGTAAGAAGCAGTGAATCACAAAAAAATGACTTAAGCTGGGTTTTCACAGACAAGGTCATGTATACTGTCACCCAGTCCTAAAACTGCTCAAAGAGAAAAAAATGAATCCATATAAACAGAGTGGTCGGGTGAAAAACCTACTACAAGTAACAGACATGTTTTCCTGCACTGATTGTGGTGTTGAGTGCTTACACATTCGAGCAGTTCAGAAAATACAAAACTATAATATATCTATATTTTAATAATATAACCGCTCAACTTACTTGAGTATCTGCAGTTTATAGGTTGGATCCTGCAGTTTGTGGTTGAGCAGCCGGCCTCCTGAATCTCCGGGGTGATTGTAGCTCAGATCCAGCTCTCTCAGGTGTGAGGGGTTTGAAATCAGAGCTGAAGACACATAACCACAGCCTTCCTCTGTCACCATACAGCCAGACAACCTACAGAGAGAAAGAAGATCTGACATTTCATTCATGTTTACTCTTTTATGATTGAATTACATACTTTTCAATTGTGGGCAAATTCATTCATTTAATGTACCTGTAACTAAAGTAAAGTACTTCCTCATTTGTAAGTCACTTTGGATAAAAAACATCTGCTTAATGAATAGATATAAACATAAATGTAAACTTTTTTTTACAGACAGTATACACAGGAAGTTTATATGTTTAATCTGAATGCAGTTGCAGTAATCACAGTAATAGTCAGTATTATTCACAGTAATAACACAGTGAGTTAAATGTTGTTATAGAGAGCAGATGATGCATTGTAATGTTTAGCGCAAATAGCTTGTCAGAGTGCTGAAGAACCAGTATTTAGACCAGTGTTTACTGTAAAATACTGTTTGTGAATATCTGCTCAAATGTACATAAACATTCTGAAAATATTCTAAACAATAGTAATTTAGTTTCTAATACAGTACCTGTCAAAAGTTTGGAAACATTACAATTTTTAATAAAGTCTCTTATGCTCACCAAGGCTGCATTTATGTGCTCAAAAATACAGTAAAACTATTAATATTGTGAAACAGTATTATAAATACCTCTTTTTTATTGCAGTATATCATAAAATGTAATTGACTGCTGTGATC